ATTACTCTCTCTCTCTCTCTCTCTCTCTCTCTCTCTCTCTCTCTGGATTTTATTTACGAAAAAAAATCTCTGTCTATTTGCCCCATAGACAATGCATCACTTACTCCAGAAAATTATTCCATCGTTCGAAGTTTTTTTTCCGAAACTGCGGAGACAATTAGCCTTTTCTTCTAGACTGCCATTCCGCATCGATAATTAAATTCACGACTGGGGAGAGGGCGGAAAGCCACCGGTACCTTCGTGACCTTAAACTTTCCCAGCACTATATTATCATAAATAAGCGAGGACTTAACGAAAATTTATTCGCAATTCGCACGAATTCGCTGCGCGTCAAAGATTAATTTGGTTTAATGGCGATTTTGTTTGACCCTCGCTCGCTGATACGCGTGATGTTGACCGGGCGTTAATTCTAATTACACGCGTAATTGATAAATTTGGTAAATGCACGCAGCCGATCGCGCGAGATTTAATCTCGCGCCGGATTACAATGGATGGCACGTCCTTGCACGACATTCCTGCGGGCAACCCAAATTCGGTAGAATGTGCGTAATCATTCTGAGTCTATTCATCCCGCATTTCTATTCATTCCTAACACACGGCATATCTCAGCGCTAATTTAAATTCATGAAAATATGCATTCTTCTATATTTGATATAAAACGGAGAATGCCGTTGTTGCGTTGTGTAGAAAAATCGATGTACGTGTGAATATGATGGAAATTCGCGTATTTAGTAAATTTCGAGATTTGCATTCGCACTCCATTTGCTATTTTTCGACGCTCGTCGTGGTAGCGTGCAGAAAGAGAAAATAACTTTAACGTTTTATGAAGTATGCTTAAATTTTATCATTAACTTTGCGTATTATAAATATAAGATAAAAAATAGGTCGAAACATAACACGCAATTATATAAATGTTAAATGTTAACACATGATATGTGGAATAGTGACATTTACAATAAAAGTTATGTCAATAATGTTTACATATTTATTGTATTTGTAATATATCGCTGTTTATTGAAGAAATAATATTTCTGTTAAAATTTCTGTTGGAAAATTATGTATACGCTCTCTTGATAATTTTCTGTTGAAAAATTATGTATACGCTTATAATAAAGATGTACCGATTAATATTTTTTTCTTTTAATCAATATAAAACGGTATTTCATTCGGTACGTATATTTTAGTCAAACTTTATTAATCTTATTATTAATTTCATTAATCTTATTGTTTCTCCAAAAATCATACGATTAAATTCTAAATTTTTGTTAAATGAATAGTCAAATTAATAATTCAGTCAATCTATTAAATTGAATTGGGGGAAACACACAATGTCGATATCGGCAAACTTGTTGCGAGTAAATGGCCGCGTACACGGACGAGTACTGATTGCTGCCTTTTCCCGGAAATGTTGCAGTCTTCCTGGCGATGTAGCGTTTGCCGTCGAAAGATCGCCTCGAGGGACCAGCCAATAGTGACACAAGAATCCACAGATTCGATGTTGGACGTGCCGTGCCTGGAGACTCTTCACAGGAGGCACAGCGACGCTCGACTCGGTCCCACCGGAAGTCAGATAGGCACACTTGGAAGCGGTCTGGCTCCGCCACGGAGTCCGGAAATCCGAAGGCATTCTGATGTTTCGCCGGCTAGTTTGAAGGAACTGGAGAAGGTAAGCGAGAACTTCATCCACACGCTTTCCTAATTTGGACGATTAAACGACAGTTAAATAATACAGCATAATTACAGCGTAATAACCCGATATCTCTAACTGCTTTATCTCTTACAATGCGAATAGATGCATAATTCCCCTGCCCATAGCATACAGCTTCAATCTATCATTATTAGACAACAAGTAGAGAGGATCGTGCATTATAAAATCGTCGATAAAATAGTTATATAATCCGGTCTGTTTTTACATTTTGAAATAAAAATTAAATGTTTGTTTGTAAATAAAGAATTAACTTTCTAAATATATATTACGACATATCTACGATCATATCCGTAGTTGACACGATTTTTCCTTCTTGAACTGCGCAGAAATTTAACGGGATATATTAATTTCCTTGCGACAAAGTTTCAAAGAGTTAAGAGTAATATTTACAAAGTTAATGGAAAATGAGGATCACGCTTTTCGTGCGCACCGTACCATTCGACTGGCTTTCGATGTTACTCACGATTTATTGCCGCACGAGATTCCCTTTTCCCAGCGTGGTGCATAATTCAACATTCTAAGAGATATACTGTACGCGAGAATATTCGTGCAGCCATGTTTAAAATTAGGGTTGCTGAATTACCTCTGCCAAACGAGTCGACGTATAATATGCTTTGAGTGTCCGCTTGAACGCTTTAAGCTACACTTTGCTGTTATCTCAAATGCATACACCATACTATTCGCCGAGAATCTTGCACGCCACTGCATTATGCAACAAAATGCAGGTCGCTCGTCGAGAGAGATCTCGAATTATTCCATTCGAATTGCAATCGGCGTCTGTAAGGGCAAAAAAGTCGCCCGTTCAGTTGTGTCCTTGCCACAAAACATCGCTGGTTACATAACGCAATTTGACTCTTATTTTAATATCAATACCAAGGATATTATTTTGCATAAAGATTGCGTAAAAGAAACCGTTCGTATCCGATTATAAATCATATTTATACTTTAACTTTTATAATAAAGTCACATTGTAATATTCACCGTAAGATTTAAATAAATCAATAATGGGAAAGATAAATACCTATTTTCACTTTATTAAATTTCTTAAAACTCGCTCGTACTTTAAAATAATATACTCGCTGCTCGATACCGCTTGAACAATAATTGCAGCTGCCTGTTTTTATTTATTACGCCTTTTATGCTCGAATAATTTACGGTAATTTACCAGAGATCGTAAATTCGGACGATCGCATCGACGATCGTCCTCGTCACGTGCGGCGCGCTTTAACGAGGCGCGCTTCCGTCGGTGTCGGACTCGACGCGGAGCTCGACTACTCTCCACGAGATCTCATTGCGGGTAGATCGTGTGCACTTGTCACGCAAACGGAGCACCCGCAGACACATACATGTACACATCGGCGTACGAATACACACCGACAATGTGCATCGTGCACGTGTGCGCACAGCCAGACTTTTCATTATTCGACACGCAGACAGACCAATTATCGGGCACCGTAATTACCGCACGGCTTCGTTGATGATCATAAACGCGAACTTCGAGAGAGCCTAAACGAAAATGCACCATAAAGGCCGTACAGGCGTTATATGACCCTGGGATATGATCTAGAGAGAACCGTTGCTGCGCGTGCCATTTCCGCTTCCAGCTTCGTGAGCTTCCGCTTCGTAAGGCGGAAGCGGTCTAATTGTAGGAAATTGTAACGCGTAAGAGAAAGTGAGATGTCGATTTAATATTTCTGATATTTCTTGATATTTGTTTATCGATAATAGTTTGGCTAAACTTCTTATCGCTGCCCCACATTCCACGCTCCGCGACTTACTCCGCGTTTACAAGATGTGATATTTACGTGAATCAATACGCTTGAATTTATCGAAGCTTCGGTTATTGATTGCCGCACAGGTTTTCTAAGGCTGAAACTTACATTGTGCCAGCCGACAACTTCGTAGCACCGGTAGACGTCTCACCTCGAGAATTTATCGACAGTCGTTTTTGTCGCTTGGCAGAATAATCGGATCCGTGCGCGCGCGGGCGGAAACGGCTGCGGAAACGAAAGAAAGTGGAGTGAAATTGAAATGAAGGAGAGCGTATATTTCTGCAGGAATAAAAGAATCAAAACGGCAGATTCGAAAATCTTTACGATTGCACACCGCACGGGATTGCTTACCACGCGAAAATATTAAAAAAATTATGGTTTTCATTTTAAAAAGTCGCCTCTTCTGCGTTTGCATTTACATTCCGTGTTTATTTTTTCAGTTCTTTTTTTTTTTGCTTCACAAAATTCGTTCGCTGAGATACATGTTTCGTATGCAACATGTAGCTTCGCTTGTAATTGGTTATTGTGTTTTCAGAATAATTGCTTAAACGGCGAAATAAAAATAATAAATTGAATAGATTTTCACTATTTTCTATTCAATGAAATTTATAGTTTCCCGTATTTCCCTAGTTTTTCATTTTCGCGTCCTATTTATTCGAGATACGTCAAGAGTAAATTACTATTGAATCCGTTTCCATGGAATAATGTCTAATTTCTCAGGACAGCCAACGTGTGTCATTTTTAGTATCGTTTGTCCGACATGAATTCGACGTAGAAGAAGGGACGGATTCGAGATCGTAAATCCGCTTTGTCGGAGTTATCGTGACGTAAATGAAATACGTTCCGCGAGCATTTACGCACGCACGCGTAGGCGTAGACAAATTGAGAGGAGATGTCTCGTATTTACGACGCCAAACGTTAATTCTGGAGTTTACCGCTCGCTTTCGCGCGTCAGTCTTTCGCGATACGCCTCGCTCGGTGAGGGACGCGTAGCACGTTTATCTTCCTTGTGGTAATTGTCGTTGGGGCTTTTTCCATCTCGAGATTCAATCCACTTCAGTGCTATTTCGCGCTTCACGGCTACCGGTTTCTCGTGAGTTAAAACGGCCGCATGATGGATGGAATGGAATGACTGCCAGTGCCACCGGCAAAATTGCGGAAATGCGATAATGATAATGTTTAAGGCATGCCGTGAAAATAATTACCAAAACTACAAAAACATCAAAAACAATCTTTACGATTAAATCTGATTATCGCTGATTGGTTTCAATAAAAAAAAAAAATCATCGCTCGAATTTCCAAATTGTATCAATGAGAATTTTTAATTTTACAGTATTAACATTTTAAATGTCTTTTCCCTTATATTACTTAAAGTTTATATTATTATTATTAATTTCATTAATTTCGTAGAAACATGTTGGATTTGCACGGAATGACAACGTGATTCTTTGCGGTCGAATGCTTCTTTAATTCTTTGACCTAAAACGACTTACACGATTTTTCAACGTCTCGCGCGACTATAAATGCGAATACGTTTGCATCCGAATTAAAATTGCATTTGGCACTTATGTTTATACCTTCCTATGCGCCCTACATTACGACGATAGCTGTCTACGTGCACTTAGACGTTCCGGCTACGCCTATTGGATAATTTACGACTGGCTGAGTATCCTGAATGATGCGCAACATGCAGAGTATCCGCTGCATCTCCGCTGTATCACGCGCGCACCGCGACTTCGAAAATCACCGGACGTATTCCGTCGGCGTGCGTGTCACGTCCTAATGCAAATGGCGATTCATTTTTTTTTTTGTTTTTTTCGAATAGGCCTCGCGCGGTCACGAGCGAGAAGTACAGTCGTAACGCGCGGTTTCGAGGGACGAATTATCGCGACGTGCGAGAGGGGATGAACGTTCTCGCGCCGCATCCTCGCCTCTTCGTCGTCTCTCTTGCGTTAAAATAACGTTTTCGCACGGCCGCGCGCCCCATCACCATGAATATTTATGCGCGCGACAGGTGCTCGAAAGCGCGAATCGAATCGCTGCTCGGCACATCCAGCCGGGCGCGAGCGAGCAGCGGCGACGGGCGAGAAAGACGTGCCCGGCATCGCGCCCCTCCGCCCCCCCCCCCCGGTTGTCCCGACCCTAATGGAGCCTTAATGCTGAAATCCTCTCGAACTCGGTCGACTTGGTCGACTCTAGCGCGTACGCGCGCAGCACCTCGCCTCGCTTTAATTGTTGCCGACGTGCAATTATGCCGCGCGGCGGGACCGCGTGACGAAACCGGGACGAAGTTAATTTTCGAATGTGGCCGTTTCATTATTATCGCGAACTCTCGGCCGTGTTTCCGCGGTCTTCCTCCTTGTTGCCCGCAAGCGCGCCGGGGGACGCTATTAATTTTCATCATTATCAAAGGACAGTGCGCCAGTCTCAGAGCTTTCGCGCGTGTATTGAGCGAAATGTCTTTGTTGCAGCTTGCCGGTGGGGCGAGAGTTATTTGAGATGCACGAAATTGATCCTCGTTACGTTTCACATATATATATATATATATATATATAGAAGTAATTCACTATCTTCCTAAATAACTTTTTGTTCTAAAGATAAGAGAAACTTATGCGTCAAACGATTTACGTAGTATATAATTTGATTAATACAATTTTCATAATTTCTACAATTTTTCAAATATATATTTATAAAATAAAGTAGAAATAGAGATACAAATGAATTTTACTTTCATAAATAATATTTTATAACTCGCGCCGTACTGACTTCTACAAAAGTTGAATAGCTTCGTTGTCGAAAAAGCACGATTCAAACAAATATAAACCGCACAGCTTTATCTAATCATTCCAACGATCATGAACTTTAGAGTTATAGCTGATCTTTGTGCGTTGATCGACCTGTTAGCTTCTAGGTGTCAATCTGTGCTGCCTACTAATCTTGTACTTGCACTCCCCGCCCGCCCCTGCCGTGTTGTTGGGGATGCTGTGACTTCCTCCCTTTACTCACGGCCTACATGTGGTGACGTTACTCGCATTGAGCCCTAATCTCTGTATCGTAATGTTGTAGTTTCGAAAGGTTGCAGGAGAACGCCAGAGAGAGGATCTCAGATGGGAGCGCGATCTGGACCGGAAGAGCAAGTCAAGGGGTGGCTCGCCCGATCGCCATCAAGCCTCCGATAGAGGGAGAGCGACCAGCCCTCAGAGGGTCGTCATGTCAGCCCAGACGGGCGGTAAGGATCGTTTTATGAGATATTTGTTGTTCCTCTGTACCTTGACATTGATATCATATTCCAACTGCGCGTTCGACACAATCGAAAAAAATATTCGCCAGAATTACGTAACACTTATTTTATCAAAATAAAGAAATATAAAATATACAACACTGTTGTTAGTAATTGATAAATTAGATTTATTTTCCTTTAATCTAATCGATTATTTTTATGAGTAATGTCTTTAAACTTTTAATTGTTCTTATCAATTTTAATATAATTTCTCAAAATAATAATAAAAAGTTAATAATAAAACATAATTGTGTATGCTTGTAAAAATATTTTTGTAAAATAAATAAATAAAAATTTTTTAAAACTTATTAATTAAATTATATTAAATCTATAGAGATTATTTTATTACTTATTTTCTCTTATATCATTGCATAATGAAAAGAGATTATTTTTAATTACGTCACAGTCAATTGAAATGCTAATTCGGAATTAAAATAACTTTCAAATTTCGTGCTGCTTCATTTAATCTCGTCAGATCGCATTCGTCTTTCGATTTATTTAGTACGTTAAAGCCTAACATCATCTTTCTATTTCCTTGATAAAGCGATCGAACAGGAAGGCGGTGATCTGGACGACGAGGAAGAACGTCGTCGGCGCGCTCGTCGCGGGGGCGGTACGGTCCGCCGTAAATCTCGCGTGACCAGGCAAAGATCTTACGATGATGAAATCAAAACGGCGGCCGCGATGGCTGCCGGTGGAGCGCAGCCCGCACATCCCGACACCGGCCTAGGACTTCCGGTTCAGCTGCCAAGACGAGCGTCCGCTTACGATGTTTACGCTGTGCCCGGAAGTAGCGGTCTTAACGCGATGGCTATCGCTGCCTCCCAACAAAGAGCCTCCATTTCGGCACAAGGTGTGTTGAAGGGATTCATTACAACAATGTTTTGGGTTTCTAAAACAGTTATGTGTTGTGCAATATTGCAAGAAAAATATATAAGGAAAAAAATATTTTTTAATAATTTTCAATTAATAATTTTTTAATTTAATTTTGTAAAAATAGTTTTCTTTTTAGCGTTGAGTACATATCATACGCCGATGAATATGTAAATTTAAATTAACACAATGGAAAACAATATTTTAATTTAAATGTTTTCATAGAAAGATGTTGCTTTTAATATTCACTCACTTGTAAAATAAAATGCGTTCTACGTTTTATATCTTTCATTCCGTATTCGTATATTTCCGTATATTTCTACTTTATTTACGTTTGTAAAATATCAAAATTATTTCGCCCTTCAGAATAAATCACCCTTCAGAAGTTTCGCCAAAATAAACTAAAGATATCTACCGATAATCGTGCTGTGTCATGTACATATGTACATATGTATATGTACGCATAATTTCTCGCAGTTTCTCTCGTTAAAGTGCTATCTTTGACCTCGCGGGCTATTCCCCAGGGCAACTTTAGCCAATCGGCTCTTCGATCCTGGCGAAGGCGCCGAAATTTCCAACTATTCCTTCCCTCCCGATAACGAACTGGCAACACGTGCTCCGATTTCTCCGCCACATGTTTACGAGTTATCGCAACGGCATCCGTGGCAAGTTAGAGATGATTAGGGGCTCTAAGGAGCCCTAAGGGCGGCGAGAGCTGCCGACTAGGATAATCGAATAGACTCTGTCGAGCAACGGTAACTCTACCTCGTGTACCTTGTTCGTTCTGTTCGCAGTTTCCTGTTTTGTCGTCGAAACAATTCGCTCCATTACGCGAATGCGTCCGGTGTTTCGCCATCAAAGGCGTGCAACTTCGAGAAAATGACTAAGCCGATTTTCGTTAAACATATTTTGATCGCAGCTACGTGCGGTCATTCGTATTTCCCGAGATTTTCCGCCGCGAGCCAGTGTACACGACGGGAACTCTCTGTATTTACAACATTTTCAAAACCGCGACTTCCATTTCAATTAACTTTGTGATTTCGGAGTGCACTGCTTGTAATATGAATTTGACGTTTCGAAACGGCACGCATTTTCAACGATGGCGCGACGGCGCTACGGCGGTTTTGGAAGCGAAACTTCTTTACGAAAAATTTTACGTGATACATCAACAAATTGTTGGTAATCAATTGTCGGGAGTACCATTAAAATTTTCCACGGGGAAAACAGTTTTAAATGGCGGCCACAAAACTAGTTTCAGAATTCTCATTTTCGTGCAATTCAATTCAGCCGCATGTGTCGGACGTGTGTCGCGTGTCCTGAGATACATTTCTATGACTGTGTAACTTTAACACTATGGCGCGCATATTACCAGCCTGCGTGATCGGAAGCACTAAACAAGCATCAACGCGACATGGAAATTCCGCTTTTCTCCTTCCTTTCTCCCGCCACCCTCGTTCTACCGTATCGCGGAAGGCCCCGCACGCAGCAACTTGCAGCGAACTTTCTGTGGAAACTATTTCCGCGTCACGGAGAAGCATACGGACGTAACGCGGTTTCAGCAGCCATCAGCACCCGTGCACGTATACATTGATCGGCTATTCGGATGCTTCTAAAATTTCCATTTTGTCGAACGTTAACGTGCTATCGTCTCAATTCAGATATTTAGCCTGGTCTGACGCACGTTTCGCCACTGAAGCGCTGACGTTGCAGAAAGTAATACCAGATATAGCGGAATAAACCAAGATTAGCAAATTTCAGTTTTGCTGATGAAATGGGAAACTGACCAAGGAACATTCTTTCCCGAAGTAATTCAATAATTGTTTAAGAAAATATAATTAAAATATTATTACACGTCGTATTACACATTACCTGCACGCATGGTGCAATATATTTTTTCGACTATAGCATCTTGGGAGAAAAATTTTATCTTCGCAGAAATTTATTTTAGCGATTTGTTTGTAACTTTTGAACTTTTGATATGAGAAAGTTTGATAATGCAAATTAAAATCCATTCGAAATGAAACGGAGATTAGACGAAAATTAAAACAACGATGACAAAGAATAAAGTTTGATCATTTACTTCTAACCGCTAGATTAAATTATCCAAGTTCTTTAATTCTTTCTCCCTCCTCTCTCTCTCTCTCTCTCTCTCTTGCTAATTGTATTTTATTTAGCTCTTTATATTTCTTTTTTTCCCTCCGTAGTCAAACAAAAGTACATTTATTTGTACAACATGTCGTATATAACGTGATCCATACTGGTTTCTCTATGCTGGAACCAAGAGCTGGAAACTTCACTTTCTGTATTACAAAGAGAAACAATGTTGACATTCAACCCGCATCGTACTTTAGTGTGAAAATGCTATGACTATTTTATTTCTTCTGAATACGTTTAACTTTTTTAAAGTCTTCGTTACAGTAACAACATACACATTTCAATATTTTGAATTTGGTTTCTTCGCAGTATTTCTGATATAAAGAAAGCTAAGAAAACGGATATACACAACTATTTTTTTTAAATAAAATTGATTATCTACTCGTTCATATGATTAAAATAACATTTTCTTATTGCATTTTGACGACTGACTACAAATATTTCTTTCTGAAAGAGATTTTTCCGTAACAGATATAAAAATATGTCGTCAAAGTATTTTATTTGTAAGTATATAATTAATTTGCTTCAATCTTCAATATATACGTATATATAAAGCAGTATTAAAATTTATTTTATAGCCTAATTTATTATTTCAAATGGTTTTATTAAATCCATATTACTCTTTTAGCTCTTTTACCATTATATTAGCAGCGACTTCGTTATTCAAGGCGATTTACTCGCCATAACAGGTCACATTTAATATTTCAAGTATATAATATGGTTGGCCTGAAAACGTCGGCGTTCGTGCTTCTTTGCAGGCACCCGAGAACCTGAAGAACGGCCTGCAACGCGCAGATCCTCCTTCCGCGCAGTGAAACCGGTGATGCCGTACGATGTTGCCGCCGACGATGAAAAGATGATTAAGCTAGATTCGTCATCTGCACCTGTGGTGGTACCGCCTGTATCCCAACCTGTTCTTTTACCCGACGAAGAGAGACGCAATCGACGAAGAGGCTCCCAATTGTAAGTCGTTATCGTTTGCATCTCATAAGAATTCAATTATGCAAAAAAATTGTGACCGCAAATCTCCTATTCCATAATATATAATGAAAGCAAGATGAAATTTATTAAGAAATTGAGTCGTTCAGCTTGGGATGTTGTAAATCTAACTTTAACGAGATTTATCTTTGACGAGAGTTATCTATTATCCGGTCTCTCGCAAGATATAATTTCTTTATTGATATTATTAAATTAAATCTTTATAGATGTTAAATACCAGTTACCATACACTTGAAAATTTTCTGTAGAGTTTAATATTACCTATTCTAGGATTTGAATTAATAATAACGTAATTAATTGTAATTAATTTTAAATAATTAAATCCAGAAAAATATGTATATTACTTCATTATTTTAATAAAGATTAATAGTGAATTGTTTTGGAAAAGATATTTGTTCATTCAGTTCTTTCTCTTAAAATGAAAATTATATAGACAAATTTGCCGAATTCAATTTCGAATTTTTACATATTTACCTGTATTTTAACTTTCCATGACATCGGAACTGTGATTTCGAAATAGACATTTCGAAATAGACATTTCGTTTCTATTTTTTGTAGGAAGTAATTTAAACTTTAGTTTTTTTTTTCGAAAAAACCTGAAAAAACTTTTTCTCCTTTTCGTTTGCAAATAAAAAATATTTGCTATCTAATAATATTAAAATTATTTATAGAACAAGAGATTAATGAACACAACAACTTCTTCAAATCGTGTAGAAGAGATTTTACTGTAAATTACATTTCTTAGATTAATTTCTAAAAGTAGATTTCCTAATAAGAAATGCTCTCAATATACTTTACTTCTTCAAAGTATTCCTTATTCTTCGAAGTCTCATTGTTTCTCTCCAATTAAGTTGAACTCATGCAAAACTATATTGTATAATTTTATCAGAATATGTTATTTACATGAAAAGCGTAGGAGTTAAAAATTGAAAAATAAATTATATCTATTAAATTATATCTAAATACATTCACATCATTAAAATATTTTTTGAATAACATTATATCGATATTGCCTTAAGTTTTTATAGTCTATAAACGTTGCTCGATTATATCGTCTTGTGGAAGAAATAACTTGAAAAAAAATATTTAATAATATCTTGAAGTATCTGAAAATAATTCTCATACAAAACTGAAATATTCTCTCTACTAAAGAATTTCCATATTTTCCGCACCGTTATTTTTTGACGCAAAATGGAAATCTTGATGTACATCGACCAAGTAAAATACGTTCAGACATTTTAAAAGAAGGATAATATGATAAAATAATATAAAACAAGATCTTCTTCGTCTCTACCTCCTAAACTACTTTGAGAAAACGATGTAATCCGCCTAGTGTTTACATCTCATTAAGGCTCGTTTGCACAACAAATTTAGATTAAATAAACCTCAGCGATTCACTACTCGCTTTTTGCAATCTTACTGGTGAGACAAACGGAGAAGGAAAATTTACTTAGCTAAATTTAGCTTTAAATGATTTGTCTTAAATCTCCTTTTTCAGCGAACGGGTATCGATTCGCAAGCGAAGGATTCCGACATAGAGCCGAACGGCGTATCCGTCGGCGTGGCGAAAATGAGGATCGATCTTCTCGTTTGTGATTCCTCCCCACTTTCGCCATGACTTATTCGTGATTATTCCTTTTATTTCCCCCCTCAGCAAAACAAGCGTGCAACGTGTATTGTAAGTGCACGTACGGGCATCGCAATCAAAAGATCGAGTGGATTGGTAAACAGGGAGAGTTTGCTACTGGAGAAATAATTAATACCACCCCTTCTTCTGCTCTTCGTTAAGTGTGTGCATTTACTCGTGTGCGAACGTCTGCGGTTCTCGCCAAAGTCGAGTTCGGAACTGTTACAATTTCAGAGAGCTTAATTTTCCGCGCTACAGAAGGTTACTCGAAGTTACGGTAAGCTTGCGATATTAACTATTCGAGAGGCTTGCGTTTATGATGCGATACTCGAAATGGATAATACGGCGAAATTGCACAAATTTAAAATACATTTGAACGACAATGCTATTGGACATATTATGAATGATTAATTAAAATTTTCCTTAAACGCACACACATGTTGCACAATTTCTTTGTTTCGTTTTCACGCTTATATCTTGAGAATAAATTTCTATTTACATTAACATTTTAATATCAATTGTTTTCATTATTATTTAATATCTAAAATAAGAAGTAGTCGTAATTAAAAAAAAAAAAATATTATTTTTTATATCCGTCAATGTATGATGTAGAGCCTTCGATAAGTCCAATGACCGCAGTCAAAGGTTTGTTTTCTTTCATTTTCTATGTATGAAAAGGTCGAAGGTCCGACATCGAGGGCAAGGAAGTGTCATTCCTCGGACAGGTTGTTATACGAAGGAGCCGGGGAAGTTTGGCAGAAGGGTCGCGCGTTACGTGACGTATCGCTTTTGTCAAAATTGGCTTAACCTCCGAAATCCCTCGCCGTCATCGTATTTCTTTTCCGGCCGAGTGAGAAAGCTCGTGAAAGGCGTGAAGCTAAAGCTCATCGTCAGCGTTATAAATCACCTAGATCGCCTAATCGTTATTATCTTCTCATACGATCAGGTGCCATTGAAAGCCAAAGCTGTTGCGCACATCAATTCTTCATACTCGAGTCAATTTTGATATATCTTTACTGATATTAAATTATATTATTAGAATTATTAGAAATTACAATATTAATAAACAATTTTTTATTATTTTCTGTAAATAGAAATTTACGATGGATATAATGAGACTCGAGTGTTTCATAACATAGATCTAATTAAACAAAACAAAATAATAAGCAATTTTAATTAGTTCAATTCATTTCAAACAACTGACAACAATTTATTTGCGAAAACAAATATTTTTACACGATTTCTCTCTAATACGCGTCCTCTTCCTCACTGTGTGTGTATGTTTCGCGCTTTCAAAAATTATTTCTTGTTATTAATTCGTGATTCGTCACGCACGAGGAATTGGTTTTTGTTTGTTTTTGTTTGTCGAACATGACAAGTTTACCGTTAAACGAAAGAAGAAATCCATTAAAACAGTCACTCGTAATTTTATTCGGTAGCTTAAACGAAGTTGTGGGTTCTTCGGGATCCTTTCAAAATGCATGATCCTTTTTGCAGCTACCAAAAAAGTCATCGATTATTCATGCCGATCAATGTTATACTATCTTAAAGCGATACCATTCGTCGATTTCTCGATTTCGAGCCTTGGCGGGCTGCTAAATCGGGAGACACGAGAGTAGTTGCTATTAGGATTAAAACAAGAGCGCGGTTTCCTTCTATCTTCTATCGTCGGCTTCTATCGAGGGGAGGCGTCGCGTTGCAGAGAGCGACGTCAGAATAGAAGCGCACTTGCGCTTTAATGCGACCTTGCTGCACCACGTCGAAATTTGGTCGTGCCTCGAATGCTTGCACCGGGTGACCGTGCGCCGCATCAACCACGATCTACGTATCGTCATCTCGGTAAACCGCCGGGAAATCAGAGTAAATCATCCCGGTAATTCTACTGAATATCGCACGTCTTAACCGGCATATTTTCCGTTGCGACCGGCGAATTTCCAACTCACCTCACGCGTCTCGTAAAGTTACCTCGTCTTTCTCTTGCGGTAACTTCAAAAACTTGATGTCACAGTAAAAATTCTTATCCCTTTTATCCCACGCGGTGAGCATTT